TTTGTCATAATGCAATATATTTAACAACAAGTGGTGATAAACGAAATTTAAGAAATCAAAAATTTAAAAGATATAGGAATATAGTTATACCAAGTACTACACCAATATTAAATATTTATAATTTAAATCCTAACGATTATACTAATAGAGTATCCAATCGGGACATTAAAGGGATTTTTAGAGGATGTTGTGCGAATGTTAATGTAACAGATGATTATTCTGAAGGTATTATACATGTAATATTTAATAGATTAAAAGGATTACCTGGTTGGAATATCGAAGAAGAATCATCAAGTATAGATGAATACGCTAATTTACTTGCAAGAGCAAAATATGGATTGGCACCATCTGGATGGATGTTCGACCCTATTCCTATATGGGAATATTTTGCATTTGGAGTGGTTCCTGTTGTAATTGCTGATGGGATTGTTGAACCTTTTGAAGACGATATGGATTGGGATTCTATGATTGTTAGGATTCGACGTAGTGAAGCACTTATAATTAATGAAATATTGGATGCAATTCCAGAAGATGAGTACCTAAAAAAACGGGAGAGAGTTTCGTTGATTGGAAAGAATATGGTGATTAATTACGGTTATACTTGGCATTATATTGTTAGAAACTTTTGTAGAATGTTAAAAATCGTTAAGCACGAAGTTATAGATATTGAAGGATATGATTATCAATCTATTTGATTTATGCACATATAATCATTTGCGTTATAATGTTCGTGATTTCCAGTAGCTTTATCATAATTTTTTATTAACAAAATTATAGTACTCTATTGCATAATGCGATACATTTTTAAAGGTTAGAATTTCTATCAACAACTAATCTTAAATCTAATTAATTTCATAGATAGTAGAATACACCGATGGTCAACGCACATAGAAATAGGTTAGAAGTTAGAATAAGATTAAGTTTTTTTGAGGCGTAGAGAATTTTACTCAGTTGTAAAATAAAATAAAAAGATTTTTTTTATCTCAATTAAAGTATTATTGTAAAGTTGATCGTTATGGTATCCTTCTATCTAAATAATAGCAATCACAGTTAAGGGTATGTCAAATTACCAACCCATTTTAACCAATCAAATCATAAATTTTACGAAACAAAGTCTAAACCTAGCCCAATAAGAATTTTGGTGATTAACTTTTTCCATAATCACAAATTAATTAAATTCTTACGTATACAGTAATCTTAATTTAATTGCATATTTCCAATAGAGGAACTGAAAAGTGATCATTAATACGTATTTGTTAGCAGGAGGTGGCAGACGAACTCATAGTTTCAAAGAAAATTTGGCAATGAAGTAAAATAATAAAAACATAAAAAACGAGAAAAACTATTCAATGTTATCAGTAAAAATTCTTGCGCTATCTTGGAAGCCAACACGTTTTGATGGATCATGCTTAAGTATTATATATAAAATTACATAAATTTGTGTTTTAGCCATTTAGTCTAGAGTTTGGAACCAATTTAATCGGTTTTAATATATGAAAAATAAAACCGGTTCCAAACACTAATACTAATGTAATCGAAGGCGATTCATAAACAGGATACGTATTTACAGAAAAGATTAAAATATATAGTTAAATAGCAATCAGCGCTTTTTACAAATTAAGGAGACGCTATCAAAATTGATAAAAGAAACAATGAATGAGACAATGCCCGCATCATTAAATTATTTTTATCACAGGGCTAAGTCATAAACGTCTTTAAATTCTCCTGGATGATGATAAAAAACTTGATTAACCTGATCAATTTTAATAAAATCATTTTAATTCTGCATTTAGAAAGATCAAAATTGGTTAAATTGTTACGTTTATAAAGTTTATATAAAAATTTTAATAAACCGTTTTGCCTAAATTTCTATTAATTTTCTCATATTACGATCATGTCAATTAACCTTTCGCCAATCGGCACTATGCATATAAATTCCATGCATGAAGAATGCGTTATACTGTAGTGACATCATCGAACGAGTTCCATTCACGTGAGTAAAGCAGAAACAATTGAAAGAGAATATGAATAGTAAAATTAAATGTGGAAAACTTTATTAGGCATGATAATATGTAGTCTATTCCGAAAAGTCAAATGTGTGTTTTGTTTTTAATTATTTTTTTTATTGGACAATTGATTTCGTGAATGAAAATCGAAAAAACTGTTTGTATTCATTATAACGTAGGAGTGGAGTGAAATTGTAATACTTATACGTAGTCGATTATAAATAGCAGCTGTTCAGATTTAAATATAAAATTTATTTACAAAGAAAATTCTAGAATTTATAAATAAATAAATCATGCTTTTAAAAATTTTTAATATTATAATTACAATTCAACAACAGCAAAAATAAAAACGATTAATAAAGAAACAAAAGCGGTAAACAAACTGGTTTGTAAATCAATTTTAGCACTATTTGATGTTGCAATATCGTTAGGTAAAACACCGTTACCGTAGGTTGTTGGTGTATATTGTACTCCATTATAATTAGCAACAATACTAAACGGATTTAAGTTCGGACTACCTTGGTCATAAAAATCCACAGTAATAAAATTTGGGAATTGTTTAAAAATAGTAGTACAATTTTGAGCATGTTTTTGAAGACTAGCACTATTTGTTAGATTTGCAGTGACTCGAGTTGGAAGGTCAATGTCTAATGGTCCAGATTTCACTTCGGTGTAAAGAAAATGATTTAACATGTATATTGGACGACGCTGGTCTTTAGGACGGTCAATTGTGCATTGCCAAGCGTTAGTATCAGAATTATCATACGGAGTTTCGAATACATATGAGTATTCTGCCATTAACCTATAAATAATAGATATGTATTAACAATTTGAATTTAAATTAAAAATTAAACATGTAAATGTACAAAAATATATATAAATTTATAATGCATTTGTACCATGGTACAGTATTATTATCAGCGCCTGAATCAAGAAAGTTAATAACACGTTTTTTTGAACTAATAATACTAGACATTGTAGGCCAACTTGAACCAAGTGGCTGAGTATAGCAATACTGAGTTAAACCAGCTTTATCAGAAGCAGTTTTGATATCAGCTGCTGTAAGATTACTAAAATAATTTCTCCAAAAGATAGTAATAATATCATTTGGATTATTTTGCAAAAATGTTGCAATATTTTGTAATGTATCGGCGGCAGTTCCTGCATCCAATAATTCGCAAGAAGTATGGCAAAGTTCTATATCTGATTTTGTTGGATCTGGGTTTTTAAGAACAGCAAGAAGAAAAACACGAACTCCATCTTTTAATTGCGTTGAAATATTGTAATGTTGGTTTGCCGCAATAGCGTTTCCGAAAGCATAAGAATTATGCGTTGCTACAAATGATACGGAGGAATAAGGTTTGTTACAAAGTTCAGCGTACCCATTACAAAGTTGTTGCGCATTTGCCCAACTAATAATTATTATTATAGTGAAAAGAAATGAAATTATGTATGACAACTTCATTATTAACAAAATTAAATCGCAGTTTGCGAAGAATGCAGAGAGTCAAGTAGAGAAGTTGTAAATTTCCAAATATATACTATTTTTAAAACTATGCCAAGACTACCTAAATCTTGGCGGGTTGTCGAATTTGGTCTTTATTTGATTTCTAAATACAGACATTAATATTTTTATGTAATATAATATAAATGTTTATTATTAGGATTGATGTATATAGTTAAATAAAGGTTCAATTCGTCAAAATGCTTAAATATATCATAACACCCCTGATTGCATATAATCAAAAAAAAGATCTGATTCATTAAGACATCCAAATGTATAATTATATGAAAAGTGATATACAATTTTTTTTAAGTCACCTTGTTTGGTGCAAACCGATATTCGCCGGTTGACACCGCATAGCCGTACTTTACAGTATTATTTCGAGGGTTACTAGACGGTATAGGGTTAAGATACCATGTTAGATAATGATCTGCATTATTAAAGTAACCATTAAACCATCTTTGACTTGACCTTCATCCTGACGAACTTAAGTACGTACGTACGAGTTGCAGTATAAATGATGTTGCGTTGTCAAAAGCCACTTTGATTGAAAATACAATACCCGGTTGCTTATCGATCATATTGATCGATATGCTCATCAAAAATCTGATTCCAATGATCATCAGTTCGATAATAAACTAGCCTAGATGGATGTACAAATTTGTAGAATCGTTTAACGTCAAGTGATAGGTCATCTACGCATTTTGACACAGCCATTCTATGTCTAGCATTTTAATGGTTTAAAATAGTTTCTGAAAAGGATATAATGTAAATTCTAGAACGTCAAAACTCTATATAGAACATCTAGGGTTGTAATTTTGTATTAAATTTGAAATTTCATGCTATGCAACATTAAAATTGTATAACGTATATTGATATAATACCAAATCAATATAAAGCGTCCCGTTTATATACATATTTGTCGGCATGATACTACTGTACTATAGGGTAACTTTCAATCTTATTCAATTGAATTTATACAGTTTAAATATACAGCCATACCTGAGTTATATCCCTCCTTTTTTCCATAGATTTTTGGGGATATAACTATGGTAGGGATATAGCTTGGGTATTACGCTTTGTTCACATGACTGTTTACCGATCAAATTTCAATGTTTAAATTAGATAGATCTTTAATGATGCATAACTTTTGAATCGGTGATCCAATTTGGATGATTTCGCCACCAAAAAGATCGTCTCGATGAGAAGAAGATTTCAACGAGCCCAAGATCGTCAAAATCCGATCCTTGGATTCCGAGATCATTAGGGTTTTAATATTATTTCGCGATTTGTCTGATCTTCTATACTATATAGGCGGATTTTTCGATTATGGTGATTATTAAAAATAAATGATAAATTCATAAAATTTGATCCAATTAAAATTGCCGGTGTTAAAAATATTCAAAATATAATTGATTCTTCTGAATTATAAATTGCCATGAAACCGTCATGAAATCGTTTATGAAAACATAATAAATTTAACATTTTGTTTGTATTTGATTGGTTAATTGTATACTTGTATATTAATATTTTGATACAATGACGCTTCGCAATATTTTTATTATTCGGAGTGGTTATGTAATTCTATTGTATCACTTAATTTTAATGTTCGCAATATTCCCATCAAAAATTTTCGTCTTTTGCTATTTCAGTTATTTGTAGATTTACCCGTGATTACCTGTGATAATTAACCAATCAAGTTACACAATTTTTTAAAACAATTTATCGGTTTAATATTATTAGTAAACGAAAAAAAAACCGAAAAAATTTTGTATAAAGAAGCTTATAAACTAATAAATGCACACAAAAAAAATTTATCTCAAGTACTTAGAGAATAGATAGATACGCGTAAAGTGGGTAAATATGACCAATAAACCCGAATTCATTAAAGACTTTTAATTTACGGCTGACAAACACAAATACTCTACAGGAACAACCAAATTTAAAAACTACACTCATCTAACTGTTATAACCCAAGAGTACTAATTTAACAACAAACTTAAACCTAAGTGCCGAATATACCAAACACTTAGATCCACATAAAAAAGCCTGTATGCTGCCAGATCTAACGAACTAATTCCTATAACATCTACTACGCAAGACATAAAAGTATTAAAAACTATTCTTATCATAATAAATTAAACAACAAAAGTTCTTTAGTATGTAAAACTTAAGTCTTTTCAGTCTTTTCCGGTTGACCATTTCAAGCATTTAACGCTTATATACGCTTATATACGCTTATATACGCTTATATACGCTTATATATAGTAACTATAGTAATAAGCAGTTAAAATCTTCGCTTCTAAATGAAGTTCTCCAGGTTCGTGATTGTTTTTGATTATTTTTACATAGTGAATATTGACATTCTTTCGCACGTATTGGTGGTATTTACGATAGTTTTTGGTTAGTGAAGTTCTAAAAAAGTATTTTAAAGTATATAAATGAGTTACCCGGGCAATAATTGATTTACACTAGCCAATATTACGAAGGTCTTTCTATGACATATACACTTTAATTATCGATTCTAGCCCAATATCCTAAACAAACCCTAAAAAAAAAAATTAATAATAAATAAACGGAAAAAACGCTCCAAAAAATTTTTATATCAGAATAGGTCCAAATTTCAGCACTAGCCGCGACAATAAATTTATCCATGTTTTTAAAGTTGATATAAGTTCGATATTAATAAATATTAAGGAAATAATTTAGTTTTATTATTGATCATTAACGTTAATTAGCTAGCTGCATAATAAATATAGCGTACATCAAAACTTATGACATGTAAATTTTCAATTTACGCATTTTGACCATAACCTTATGAACCGATTTTTAACTAGTTGCATAAATTGTTTATAGAATTTATACAAACAGTTTAGTAAACTATTAAAAGTTCTTTTATGTGTGATATGTTTTTTTTGCAGTTGCATATTAGTTCATATGATCATTTAGTTCAAATAGGTTTGAGTTAAACAATAATGTTGGAGTTTCGAACTGAGTTAATATTAGTTCCCCTAACTACTGTATTTAACATCTTTAACATATTGTTTAAGATACGGAAAAGTTTTTAATGTGCGCTCTGTCCTTTCCACACATTAATTTTAGATACTGTTTTAAATATATCAAGTATCTCCGAGATTCACTCCATCTAAGTATAAAAGTCCCAGCGTTACCGACAATCGAGGGCGTAGTCACATGATCTTCCGACACGATCAGCCAATAATAAGTCACAATTTTGCGTAACGTAACACGATCAGAAAAATTCAAAACAAACGTTCATTTTGAAAAAATCGCCTATTTCTCGAAAATTTGCATAAGAAACCGCCTTTTATGCTCTAACAAAAAAAAATTCCTTGCTAAATTTTGCATGTATATAATACCTTACTAAAACCCAGGCATCGCCCTAACCCTAAAGTAAACGAACTTAAATTTTTTTCCGGTCATAAGACTGCGCCATCGATTGTCGGTAACGCTGGATTTGCTATCTAAGTATACCTCATGTATCTCTGAGATTCGCTCCCCATCTAAGTATATCTCACTTAGAAACAGATTTAACCTAGGAAAATAAAACCGAATTAATGAACATATTATTTATTATATTGGATCGCGCGATTCGTAACTTCTTCGTCGTTTATATTTCTTTAGTGTTCAACGAAGATATCGAGAATAAAATTTTATTAATTCTAATTTCTATATATAGGATCACAAAATGAGTGATGCTTATAGTTTTAGTAATTTTTTTAAATTAAAATCTTTCTAATATCAACGAACCATAAATTTATAGGGGAATTTACATATAAGAGCCCGAAAATGAAAACAATTAAATATAGGAAAATGATTATATATAAGGGCCCAAATTTTGAACAATATTACGCTCAAGATCCAAATTTATCCTATTAATTATCATAGATTACAAGTTTATAACATTTAATATTATATATTGATGTAATTTTCTTTCAATAGTTAAACGTATTACTTTTTACTCAGTATTGCATTTATTCTCTTAACGTCTTGCATATAAAAATTATTGATAAATATCGTGCTTAACCTAGTTGAACCGTATCTTGGTCAAAAGAAAGTTTTATTAAGTGAAAGAGAATATATTATAAAATGAATAAGGTAACACATATATACAGTGAAACGTTCAGAGAACCACTATCGTCATAACGTAAAATTATTTTGATCCTTAATTGTAATATTTTCAAATTTGGACTCTTATATTTAATTATTTTTTTAAATTTGGACCTTACTTATAACTATTTTCATTGTCGGACCCTTAGATGTAAATTCCCCAATTTTATGTTATGCTAAAAGTGGTTGATTTGAAAAGTCGTTAAATAAGCTTTTTAAAATAAAAAACAACAGCGTTTTGATCCAAGCTTATACAATATTAAAAAAAATTTAAATCTCAAAAAACATTAAAATATAGAATATTGTTCGTAAGTTTTATTATTATATTATGTATCATAAACGTGAGTTTATTAAATTTAATTAGTTAATTCTATGTGCTAGAAGAGGTAGCCAACCATAAGGTAATACTGTATTTGGTTTCATGTGATTGACCAATTAGCTTAGAGGTTTAAGTAATAATAATATCTTGGGTCGTTGGGTAATAGTGACCCAAGATATTATTAATTAATACCCTGACCTCTCACATGATAAAATACGTTGTTAGCTCGTACGTAATTAACCTTTTATATAATGATGTCAAAT